CCCGATCATTAGTTATTGTCTCCTCCTGGATTCATGCCATCATTCATTCATTGTTCAGGCTTCCGGTTGATCATTTCATCACTCAGCATCTATTTATTGAGCACCTACTATGTACTAGGCATGGTCTCTCTACTGTCACAGAAGGTAGTGAAAACAAGACATACAATAAATCAGGACACAGAGTATATAGTGCCTTCCCCTTTCCTCTGAGGTTGATTTGTTTATACATCCTTTGGTTACTGTTAGCTTAAAACCCTTTCAATTTCAGTACTACCCAGAACATTTACCTTCCTCTTGTCTACAATATCATATCACATTTCAAGCCCCTGAATAATTTCAGGGACACTCTTTCTAGTCCTCCTTGAACAACCAATCTAAAGACCTTATTTAAAAAAAAATAGAATAGCACTTAAGCCTATTTCCTGGTTTATTTTAGCAAGTGCTTGTTGGCTCCTGGTGAGCATAACATTCCTGTCTGAATGTTCACCAATTATCTCTTGAGTAATCCAAGCTCAAGGAAAACCATTGCTGCACAATTTGATATCCCTCTTCATTCACCTTTACAGAATGTGACTTTTTCTGCCTGCAGTCCTTCCTTGTTATCCTCTAGTCCTCAAAAATTACTCATATCAATAGAGCCTATTTCCCCCACCGTTTTTACACATCCGTCAAAAAATTCAGCTTGTCAGAGAGCTCCCTGGGCAGCTATCCTGGCAATCCACTGCAGTTTCCTTTTATTTATCACAGTACCATACAATTATCTAGTTTTTGACCTTTAAAAATTGATATTACAAAAATGCTCACTTAAGAATGCCCACTCACAAAATAGTAAAGCCACTGGGGAGCAGGACTCAGTGTAGGAGATGTAGGAGGGAGCTCTTTTTATTTTAAACTTCTTATATCACTTGATTTTTTTTATCTTGTACATTTATCTTTATACAAAAGCAAACAAATTTTAAAAATACATATTTTGTGTGTGGTAGACATGAAGCAATGATTATAAAGACTGGAGAAAGGTATTCTTATCTTCCCCTTTCAGATCCAGGCCATACTCAATTGTAAAATTTTAAAAATACATATTTTGTGTGTGGTAGACATGAAGCAATGATTATAAAGACTGGAGAAAGGTATTCTTATCTTCCCCTTTCAGATCCAGGCCATACTCAATTGCAGAGTTGGTGAGAGAATCACAGAAAAGACCCAGTGCCCACAAGAGTTGTCTAAGAACTACCCACTTCTGCCACCCACACCCCACCCCTGCCATTGCCTACCTTGTTTTCTCTGCTAGACCTTGTCTGCTTAACTTGCCACAATGTCTTCATGCCCTTCCACCTGGGGTATCACCATTGGCTCAAGTCTCAGTTTTCCTGGCTCATTGGTTTATTTTAATCTGTATTTATCTCCTCCCTTTGAGCACAATACATTACGATTGATTCGGGGTGATAGACCATCAGCTTGAACTTGGCCTCCCTTACATGAAAATACTTAAAGAGAAAGCCCAGTGACTTTTGAATGAGTTGGCACTGATATTTTAGATGTCCTCATGGAAAGACAGAGATATGTGTCTAATTAGTTCAGTTTTCTCCCCTTCTCAAGACATGATTTACTCCCAGGAAGTTTGTGTTGTCCACTTTTTCCTCATCTGCAGTTTCCATCATTTTCACCTCCGTCATAGATATAGTTATAATCCTTCCATCCTTCAGGAAAGGAATTTCCTTATATTCATTTATTATATTCTTATGGAAAGACTTGTTTTTTGTAAATCAAATGAAAAACTCCATTAGACACCCTGCTTTTGGTTAAAAGGAAGTCTCAGAAGAAAACCTGACCTCCAATGTTATGGACTAGAAACCATCAAGTGGAACAGTCATTGGCAGTGGAAGCCCCCCAGCACTTTTGGTTCACCTGTTCAGATCTGAGCTCACCCAGCTGCTGCTTCATGGTAATTTCATCCACCACCCTTGTAATTTTAATGTCTTCCTCTTTCCTGGCTAGTGACAGTTGGGCTACAAATAATTCAAGTGGTTTCCATCTTAGAAATAAATACAAAAAACAGGTGCCTCCCAAGTGGCACAAGGGGTAAGTTGTAGTACTATGAAGCTCAGCAGCCACTGCATCATGAGTTCAATCCCCAGCCAGGGAGCTACCCACATGGTGCAGCAGATCTCTCCTGTCTCGCCCGCTGCTCCCTTCAGCAGTGTATTTCAGTCAATCTGCCTGGTCTGCTCCCCGTTCTGTCTCTGGTGAATCCTCCCACCACCCCCGCACCTCTGGCCTGTACCCCAGTTCTTGTATGCATACATAAATAAATCTTTAAAAAAAAAAAGAAATAAATACAAAAAACAAACAAAACAAGTTCCCTCAAAAGACCAATTAAACCAGAGTCTCTGGAAGGGAACCTAAGCATCAGGATTTTTTAAATGCTGTCCAGGGAATTCTAATGTGCTCCCCAAGTTCAGAACTGCTGCTCAAGAGTCAATGTCTTGAAAAGAACATTTCATTTTTCTTTACTCCCCTGAACTTCTCAATTTACTGCATTCCATTTTTCAACATCACTACCCAGTTAGTTAAGGTCACCAATTCTTAACTTAGTGGGCATTTTTTCCCAACTGTCTTCTTAGCTATAACTTGACAGAGCATGCTTCCCTTGTTTCATGAAACCCCCTCCTCTGGATAATTTCCTGCTTTTCTTCTAATACTTGGACTGCTTCTCTTCATTTTCCACCATGGGCTCCTGTTTTTCCAGTTTTGGGGTGGAGTGAGGACAGGAAGCAATCTACATAGCAGGACTCCCCCTGGGCTTTATGTGGCTAAAATTCTTATAGGTATAGTGCTGCTCAGAAAATATGCAGAAGGAAATGAAGAAAACTGAGCTAATTCCAAAAATGTAGGCAAACACCAGGAAACAGGGTAGAGAAGATGCCAACCAGATGTTGCTCAATGTAAGAGTTTGGGCTCAGACCCCAAACTTGGTTCAGATGGAACACAAAGCCAGATTCCTCCAGAACAAAGCCCCTGGGGAACTTGGGCAGAGCTTTTGTTCAGTCAGAGGGACTCCGGGGTGAGTGGGCAGAGCATGGTGACATTCGTTTCAGCCTCATCTACTGTAAACTCAAGAATTTGCTCTTCCCTTGGTCTTGCAGCCATACTCAGGGAGGGCAAAGCCACATCATACCACCTTGGCTCCTGGGAAAAGTGCAAAGGATTAAGACCAGAAGGCAAGTCAGGGAAGGAGCTGAGAACCCGGCAGCTGTGGCAACAGCCCCTCCCCATCTCCAGGATCTGAGCCGTTATGGTTCTCTTTTAAAATAAACTAAGATTCAGATGAACAGAAAGTTTGTGTTTCACATTAACATTGTGGCTTTTTCTCAGCTGGGTGTTTTTATTTTCTCTGTCACTTTGCATTACAGGAATAACACAGTTTTCCAAGAGAACAGCTCCATCAGATAAGTAAACAGCGCCAAGTGTGGAGTGTAGATTGCAGGATTTGAGGCTCCCTGACTCGGGAAGCCTTGGACACAAAGGTCAATGGTTGCTGGCCCAGAGCATTAGCTTCAAACACAGCTCGAAACCAGGTTGGCCAAGAGGCTGGACCTCATCTTCTAGTCTATGCTGCCTTGCATTTTCTCATGAGCCAGAAAAGAAGCATCTGGAAAAATTGCTCACTGTACTTGCTCTGGCACAGCAGTGGGCACTGACTATCGCCAGCAGCCTCCTCAGCCCTAGCCAACAGTAAGAAATGAAGACACAGTTTAGGAAGATATCAGTACCTCCCGGCCTGCCAGAAAAGTGAGTTTCAGAAATACTTACCATTCTGTGTATGGTGGTGAAGATACGGGGTGGGGACAGACGCAAGACAAACACACACCCAGATGTTCCTATGGGCCCTTTCATCCCAAACTCCTATATGTTAGCTGACTGGCCCCTTATACTTGCTCTTGATTTTCATTCTTGCTGTTTCAGATACATAACCCGGACCCTTCCTTTGCAAGGCCTTGCTCCTGTTTGAGCAACCCACCCCCATCCTGAATAAGCCCCATTGAGTGAGCTTGACGTTGATAGAATAACTGTGCTAAAATGCAAACCCTTTGCCACTGCCCCCCTCCTGCAAAGACTTCTTAGATATCAACCTTGACCCAGGTGAACTTTGCTTTGCTCTATTCTTGGAATTGGTGATTTAAAAGACTTTCTTCGTGCAGAAACAAATCTAGTTAGTCCCTACCAGGATCCAACTCAAGCTGTTTCCATCACACTCCCTCCTTACTGTTGGGAAAACTCAGCATGGTCTCGTCTAGGATCAACCCACATCAGGGTAGAAAGAGTTACTATGGAAACTCTAATTTTATCACACCAAAGGCACTTTGGCAAACAGATTCTCTTCTGGAATCTTTAACACTGATCACATTATAAAACTGAGAAATTGTTCCTAGGCCAAAAATTTACATAGTTTAATAAATCAAGGGGTAAATTGAAACCCATTTTCAAAATACAGGCTGCTAGGACAGTAAGTTATATGATCAGGAGATATACCTGTAAGTTTTTGAAATTTATAAGTGGGTAGTCCTTTGAGTGATAGAACAAGAATCTAGCCACTGGGACAAGAATCTGGCTCAAAGATATGTTTTCTGCTTTGATAGTTACTTTATTGACAACAAAATATTCAACACATCTATCAATCCTTCTGCTCATGCAATGGACATCCTGGTTACTTACTTACTTTCATGTTCTATAGTTAGAATTTTTAAATTTATATAGAAAAAAAAGTGGATCTTCAAATACTCATCACCCAGCTTCAACAATTATGAACTGGATGGGCCCTTCTCCCAGATTATTTTAAAGTATATCTAAAATGTCTCCCTCTGTGTCAATAACTTTTAATATTTATAGCTATAAAACTAGGAACTCCTTTTTAAAATATAATTGTATAATAATGCCTAAAATATTAACAATGATTTATTAATTTTATCAAATTTTCAATCATTAATGAGATTTTCCTTGATCATTTACATGGCTCTCATGAATTTGTTAAATAAAAGTCAAGATTGGAGTAAGATACCTGCATTGCAATTGTTGATGTCATCACATAATTCTCTTTTAATCTAGAGTCTTTTTCTTGCTACCTGTTCCTTTCTCTCTCTCTTCTTCTTTCTTTCTGCTCGCTTTTCCTTGCAATGTAGCTGTTGAAGACACAAATTCATTAATCTGGATTTTGCTTTTTGTACTCCTGTGGTGCTGTTTAACATGTCCCTCTTTGCCTTGACTGGCCTTAAGAGTGAAACATCAACCCCGGACTCCTGATTTCTGAATCCACTTCACAACTATGAATCCAATAGAAGGTCCTAGTTTCCATTCTAATGCCCATCCTTGGGTTTCTGTCTCCTGAATGATAGACCTAAGGTCACATGCAGCATTAGAAAGAGTCTATGTATCATCAACCTACTACATGACCTTGGGTAATAATATTGTTTTGAAAGGCTAATTTGGAAATTAAGAGTAATTACTATAAACATAGAGTGGGCTAAGTGGCATGTAATATGGTTAGTCATGCACTGAGAGAGTCATCTCCAGTGTCACATCGTGGAAAGAACACAGCTTTTGGCTCTGGGCCACCTTGGATATGGCCATCTGCTCAGTGGGGATAAAACGTGAATTTCTGTCTTAAGGATTGAAGAGAAAGTGTATGTAACACATATCACCCAACGTGTAGAGCACGATGTATGTTGTAGTTGTCGGCAGTGACAGTGATGTGAATTCATCAAAGTAGGCTAGAAGAGAGGGAAGGCTGAGCTCAATGTTTTGTTTTTTCAAAATTCTCTGGCACAGGAACCTCTTTCGAATAATTTCCATTTTACCTTAAAAGCAAAAGACCCAAAGTGTGGATACGTACAAATGCAATGATTATACAGAAGAAGAAACAAATAACATTTACCTCAAGTGCCAAGAAATACTTCACAGGAGTCCATGACAATTGGAATGGGTCTTAAAGTGCATATATAAGTTTGCTGGGTGAGTGAAAATAAAGGCATATCTGGAGGAAGGGAGCAGGCTGGCACAGCAGCAGTGGGGCCACAAGCTCAGATGAATTCAAAGAAGTTGGTTGGGGTTTACCTTATTAGCAGTGGGGAGTGATGGTGGTTCAAGTAAGGTAATCATTATCTGTCAAGATCTTTCTTATGAGCACTAGGGTATGAAGGGGAGCTAAGGTGATATTGTGAGAAAGGGAGGTAAGTTAGGCCATGCTAATATATCAAGTAGGGGGTGGTGAGGAAAAAATGTGGTGGTAAACCATGTCAGCTCACAATTAGCTTCATGAAATGGTAGGTAAAATGCCAATGAAAATGGCATTCTAAGGAGGTAACTCTTTGCCTGCAGTGATCATGGAGTCACTAGCATTTGAAACTGAACCAATGAATAGAAAAGTATCTCAAACTTATGCTCAACTAATAAAATTTGGGCAATGTCTTCAAGGAAGGATCACAAAGTTATGAGGAGTATCACAAAGTTATGAGTATCACAAAGTTATGAGGAGTATCTCCAGACAACCTCATGGAAATAATGTCTTCCTCCAAATTCCATCATTCATTATTTCAGATTATTTGTACTCCTGTGGTGCTGTTTAACATGTCCCTCTTTGCCTTGACTGGCCTTAAGAGTGAAACATCAACCCTGGACTCCTGATTTCTGAATCCACTTCACAACTATGAATCCAATAGAAGGTCCTAGTTTCCATTCTAATGCCCATCCTTGGGTTTCTGTCTCCTGAATGATAGACCTGAGGTCACATGCAGCATTAGAAAGAGTCTATGTATCATCAACCTACTACATGACCTTGGGTAATAATATTGTTTTGAAAGGCTAATTTGGAAATTAAGTAATTACTATAAACATGGAGTGGAGAGAGAAAGAAGTGAGAGAAAGAAGGGATGAAAAAAACCGAAGGGAAAGTAGGAAGGAGGGAGGTAGGGAAGCTGACTTTCAAACAAAATAGTCTGGGAAATTCTGGCTTAAACTGAATTTAAAACGGTTTCTTTGGTTTCTTTACTTCAGAACTTCTTAATTTATTGCAGATCTCCAGTAAGAGCACAGAGTATCAAGACTCAGACAGAGTCCCCCTCCTTCTTCAAGGAGCACCTTGTACAATTGTTCTTTATACAAGTTTATTTGTATATAGAGAGCAATTATTAATATCAATGGTGGATATTGATATCAATGGTGTGTTAATATTAATACCAGTGGTGCCTGTTTCTTAGAGATACCTTAAGAACTGATTCTGACGGTGGTGACTGAGCTGATGGAGACATTTCTGTTGCAATTATTACTGAGGAAATACTGACCTTGCTGGAATGTGAGACCTTTAACATTGCTTCATTCTTTTCTGCTAGTCCAGGCAAGCGTGTATACTTAAGGCTGAACTAGATGGACAATTCCAACACACATTTGAAAAGAAAGTTGTTGTAGAGCCCTAGCCAACTTATCTCCTTTGCCCAAGAGGGGAAGCTCAAAGTGGACATGAGTTTAAAACAGGTCCTCACAGAAAAAGGGAGGGGGACAGTTATTTCAATGCTGAAGCATCTCTAAGATTCTATTTCTAACCTGATGTGCTCACAGGAGGGTTCAGGGTGGCACCCAGGCTATACAAGAAAATAAGCTGTTCAGTCAAGGCCTAATTGTCACCCCAATACACACACACACACACATTCTGCATAAACATAAAGTGGACTTAAAGTTTTATTGTCAGTCTCACCTCCCGCAGCTCTGCCCAAATATTGGCTCAACCACACTATCTTTTATCCAGCTGGGACAACAGTCATAAGTCACATCCCCTATGACCATCTTCACAATGTCTAAAGTCTGTTGGCAGCCCCGCCACACAGCTGTATTATCTACCTAAGGCCCTCTATCCTGCCCTCCCTTTGTCTTGGCAAGAGGTTATTTATTCTGCTGCCAGCTTTGAACCCTCTGTATCTTCCCTTTAGGGATCCAAATTGGGGAGCTCTCCCTCATTCCTGGAACCCTGATGGCACTCTGCTTCACTCCTATCAAATCTCTTGTGAATACACTTCCCTATTCCTGAGACTATTACAATCTGTTCTACAGATTCTGTTCTATGTTCAGTCTTTTCTGGAACAGCGCTACCCAATAAAATTCCTGCAGTGATGGAAATGTTCCCTGTCCTCACTGCTCAATACCAGCAGTCACCAGCCTGATTGCCTCCCCAAGCCAATCGTTTGCTGCATTTGGCACACGTACCAGCCTTGTGGCAGCAGTTCCTGCACGCAGTGTCAGCCCATCATCTGTGTGGTGGGCAGTAACACATGCTCTGGAGGGACATTGTTAGATGACATTCAATGAGATGATGTTTGTGCAGTGCCTATCACACAGCAAGTGCTCAATAAAGGATTATCCCTTCCCTGTTCCCTCAAAAGCCAGTCCAGGAACTAAAATGCTCACCTGCTTCATGATTCTCTGGGCAACCTCAAGACTGCCTTCCTTGTTTATCCTCCAAAATGCTAAATCCCATCAGGATCTGAAAGGAAAGCCTTGGATTACTGATTGATTGGTAACATTTTGACTTTCCTGTCCTACAATATGTCTCAAGTTGGTCTCCTCTTTCTCATGCTGATTTCTGACAAGTCTAGCCTCTGTTTCCTTCCTGTAGCAATCAAGAAGCAGCCATTTTCTGGGGGAGGCTGGAAATGAGACCCATTGTTCATTTGCACTGTACAACCTTTCCTCAATTAAAAAGGAAAAATAAAGTCCCTTAAAATGTGTAGGGGGAATATAAAAATAAAATTTATTAATTAAAAAAAAAATGTGTAGGCTGAAGGCTTTGTTTCCTCTCTCTTAAAAGAGGCTCTTGAGGCACTGGCAGGGCAGCTGTCACCCCAGAGGGAGGGAGAATGGGCAGTGAGGTGTGCTAGGGCCCTGCTTCTGACTGACCATGCATGGGCAACCCCAAGGTCTGCTGGGGCTTCCTCACCCTGAGTCACAGTCACGATTTCCTTGAACCCCCAACTATCTGACCTGTGGCTTCCCAAATTTCTCCATATTCCAGGGTGTTTATAGCCCTTCTAAGCTCAACTTCCTCTACTTTTGGGGTTCCTGATTGCCTCAGTGAGGGATGAATGCCAAGCTTTTCATCCAATAAACAGAAATATATAAACAAGCAAACCATAAACCAAAATCCCTCACATTTTTAAATATAGTAGACTTCATGCCAAGGTGGAGCTTTACGTGGCTATCACACAACAGAAACCTAAAAACTGTTAGGCTTTCTTTTTTGCCAAAAGAAAGTCCCCCCAACCCAGGCTCCTCCCTGCCCCTCCTGCCCTTACCTGTGGCATCCTGTCCTCACCCTCCCACTCTGACTCTTGCTTCTTTGCCTGCTGCCTCTTCAATTTCCCAAAAGACTTCCAGTTACTCCCTCTGTACTGTAATGAGTAACTCTGCAAACTCTCACGCCTACTTCTCGATCTGAACTGATACATAAATTAAGATGATCAGTTCAAGAAGTAGCCTCTCTTTTAATAGAAGCTTCCTTTCTTCAAAGACAATGGTGATGCCAAGTTGTAACTTTTTTTCACTATGCAAATGGAAAATGTAATGGGGAATTAGCATCCTCTATTAAGACACCTGAGGATCTATTAGCTGCTGCATTGTGTCCTCAGGGAGTATTTGCAACAGGTACAAAATTCTGGCTCCAATTATTATGCATGCACTTTGTTGAAAGGAAATATTATCATTAAAATTGTGTATTATCTAATATGTAATAGAATTAATATTATTAAAATAATAGTGTTATTAAGAAGAAATATGAGGAAATCCTTATCTCCATAAATTATCTTTTTTTGGAAATCATTTCAGAGCTAAGTTTCTCTAATTCTACAATTCCCTTAAAAAAGTTTTCAACACTTAGAAATTTTCATGGAAAATTGAATGTCAAGGAACTGAAAACAAGTAGGAGACCATGGAGGTGTATAGTTAGAATCCCACAAATAGAGAAGAAAGAACTAGAAGGGAATAGGAACTGGATAGAATGTCCCTGGATGAGGGTGTTAGAGGAATAAGTGGGAGAGACAGCAGACATGGCAACCTTCTTGGGTCATAAGGTCCCCGACAAAGAGTCTGCCAGGGGATGATGTAGATTTAGCTGGACACTCAGAATGTCCTCCCGAGCTGACACTATATGTTGCCCTTTCATGTCACATAAGGATGAAGTGAAGTTCAGAGAGAAGGAGCTTAATGAACAACTAGATAGGCTTGAAACAAGATCTTCAAAACTCTGTGTGCAGTTTATAAATCCCAAGTCTTCTGATTATTATTACAGAACTTCTCTAAGGCATAGGAAGTTCCTGAGTTCAAAACAAATTTCTCCCTCCTCAGTACTAGCCTTTTAAGGCAAAAATCTCATGGCAGTTTGTTAAGGAGTTCTAATAAGTGGAGAAATGTCTAGTCTTTTTATATTGAAAGGTACCATAGGCATTTGTAAAGTCAACTTTTTTTACATTTAAGGAACATAAAAACTTAGAAACATAAAAAATTAAAATAAGATTAACAATTTTCCATAACTCTCATATTCAGTGTGAACAAGTAAATGCATTTCCTTTGTACACAAAATCTTTTTCTTAGGCATTTTACATCAAGATCATGTTGTGCTTACATGATGTTGTGTTTTCTTGCTTAAATTGTCATAAACTCTGCCCCTATGACCCTCATTATTTAAAAAAAATCTTCATAAAATTATTTTTATGACCAGAGAATTTCACTACCTTTAGTGGATAGTTAGCTCCACCTGCTATGTGTTTTTATCATTTCTAATAGTTGGCAGTGACATTATGCTGAATGCCTTTATGCTTTTTTTTTTTTTTTTTGGATTCTGTCTGTTATGGGTTGAATTGTGTCTCTCCAAAAGATGTAAAGATCCTAATCCCAATATCTGTGAACTTAACCTTATTTAGAAATAGGGTCTTTGCAGAGGATGAGGCCAGTATGGCTGTTATCCTTACAAATCAGGAAAGTTTGGAGACAGAGTTAGACACAGGCACACAGAACCCCAGATGAAGATGAGGGAAAAATTTGGGGTGGTGTATTCATAAGCTAAGGAACACCAGAGATTGCTAGCAAACCACCTGATGCTAGCAGAGTGACATGCAAAGGATTCTCCCTTGCATTTCACAGAAGGAAGCATCCTTCTAGCCTCCAGAACTATGAGACAGTTCATTTCTCTGGTTCTTGTTTCATTCAACCACCCATTGGTGCTGTCTCATTACAGCAGCTCTAGGAAGCTAATACAGTGTCCTTAGAAAAACTCTTAGGAATGCAGATACTTGGTCAAAAGGTATAAACATTTTAACATTCTTTACATATTTTGCCAGGTTGCAAAATTTCCCCAATTTTGTATCATTAACTGTAAGTGAGAGTACTTATCATATTCTCCCTAGAATATGGTTGTTCTCATAAACTTCGTTAATTTGACAAACTATGTCACACTGATTTTGTATTCAGATTTCTCATATTGCTACTGAGATTAAATAGTCTACATTTATTAGCCATTTTCTTTTTTATATTGTGAGCCCTGCCCATGTCTTTTGAAAGCATATCCATATTTAACTTTTGGAATTATGATTTTTTTTCAATTTTATTTGCACAAATTCCTTTTAGAGCATGACTAGCAATTCAATTTCTGTCATTCATATGCAAATATGTCTGTGATGTGTTGTCTTATTTTTATTTTGTTTCTTATCCTTTGAATATATAGGCTGGCCATTTTATTAGGACTTCTAAATTTAAATATGTTAAAATGCTTATTTATCCTAGGATAGAAGTTTTTATGAAAGATAGCTATTTGGTCTAGAATGTAGTATACTGGGTTAGGGCAAGTGAGGATTTACTTTGCTTTATTAACAAATTACTAACCTAGCCCCCCCCCCCCTTATCGACTAGTGATTTATTTTTCTTTTCCCTACATGATGAAATATTACCTACATACATTACATACATATACATAACACATATGCTCATTTATATAAATATATATGAATATTTATGTGTGTATATATATTCCAATGTGTGTATAGTGTATGTATGAGAGAGAAAGACACAGAAAGAGAGAGAGAGGGAGAGAGAATCACCTGTTTCTGAACATTCCATTTTACCTAACAGTCTGTCTCATTCTGTTCTTGTCTCACCCTCCCTTAATGACTGAACTTTGTCATGTGGCACACGCATGGCCAAAGTGCTCTTGAGAGATTCCTATAAATATGCTTGGCCTGTTTTTTGCAGGTATAGCTGCAAAATGAGTCATCCAAAATGTGGGGGCTTAAAACCAAGCCAATCATTTTATTACAATCTCTCATGGTGTATCTTGTATCACAATACAGCAGGTGCTTGGGCTTAGCAAGGTGGTTCTCACCAAGTTACCCTGGGAGGTTGGCTGGGCCTAGGTCATCGGTTGGCTTCTTTGATTTCACATGTGGGGCCTCACCTGAGAGGCCTCCAGCTGGAGCTGGAGGAGCGAGCCCTGGGCAACCTATCTCAATGGGCCTCTGTGCAAGGTCTCTGCAGGAAGAGAGGGACAGAGTGGCCACATTTCTTTAGAGTGGAGGTCCAAAACCCCAAGGTCATGAGAGAAATGGAGCGTCAAACAAACTGCATTACCTATTGTGACTTAACATTACATACAGCACCCCCTCTGCCACATTCTATTTATGAGGGTGATCACAAAAGCCTGTCTAGATTCAAGGGAGGGTAAATAGACCCCACCTCTTGATGGAACTGTTAACAAGGTTGCATATGGAACTGGATGGAAATATAACAAGATCTGGAAAAACATATGGAACTGGCAATATTAGCGTGGCCATGTTTCCCTCACTTTTTAATTTGAAATATTGGTAGATTCACAGGAAGTAGCAAAGAGAGTACAGAGAACCCTGTACTTTTACCCAGTTTCCCCAATAGTCAAGCCTATCTAACTACAGTACATCAAAGTCAGTACATTAATATTGAAACGATGTGTGTATGCTCATTTCATCATATGTGTAGATTACACTAATCATCAGAAATCAGATACAGAATAATTCCATGACCACAAAGACCCACTTCATGCTATCTCTACAGTTACAACCACCCCTTACCCCACTCACCCCAAGCAACTGCTAATGTGTACTTTATTTCTACAATTTTGTCATTTAAAAAAAAGTTATGTAAATAAGTCACACAGTATATGACCTTTTGAGATCAGCTTTTTTCACTTAATACCCTTGAGAGCCATCCAAGTTGTTATGAATATCAATAGTTTGTTCCCATTTGTTAGTGAGTAACACTCCATGGTATGCTTGTACCGCAGTTTATTTTACCATTCACCCATGGAAGAATATTTTGGTTATTTTCAGTTGGAGGTTACTACAAACAAAGCTGCTATGAAAATTCATGTACAGGTTTTTGTGTGCACATGTTTTCATTTTTGTGGGATAAATGCCCAGAAGTGCAATTCTGGATGGTATGAGTTTAAGAAACTACCAAACTATTTTCCAAAGTGACTATGCCATTCTATATGCCCATCAGCAGTGTGTAAAAGATCTAGCTGCTCTACATCCCACCCAGCATATGAGGTCACTTTTTATTTTAGCTGTTCTAACAATTGTGTTATGATATCTAATGTGATCTTAATTTGCTTTCCCTTAATAAGTAATGATGTTCAGCATCTTTTTAATGCTTGTATGTTATCCAGTGTATTCTTCCATGACATGTTTCTGCATATTTTTTAATTATATTGTTTTTAATATTGAGTTTCAAAAGTTCTTTAAATAGTCTGCAAATGAGTCCTCTGAAGTGAATAATTCACAAATTTTTTTTTTTCCCAATCAGCAGCTTATCTTTTTATCCCTTTAGCAGGGTCATTTACAGACTTATTTTAGTTTTATTGCTTTGGGCTCATTTAAAGAAATCCAATTTATTAATCAATTTCTTTCATTGATTTTGTTTTTTGGCTTAATCTCTAGAAAGTCCTCACCAAGCCCTAACTCTGGAGATATCCTTCTAAACTTTTCATATAGATTTGTTTTATTTTTAGTTGTAAGGTCCATTTTGAGTTCATTGCTTTAAGTGTGAGATTTAGGTCATGATTTACTTTTTTTTACATATGAATGTCCAAAGCTTTTCACTTTTTGAAAATCTTCCTTCCATTAAATTGTGTTTGCACCTTTGTCAAAAATCAGTTGACCAAACTTGGGTGGGACTGTGTATTCTTTATTCCATTCCATTGCTCTGTATATCTTTCCTCCACCAATACCATACAGTCTTGATTACTTAACTATATAACACATCTTGAAATCAGATAGAGTTATTTCTCTCATTTTATTTTTCCTCAAATGAGTTTTGGTTATTCTTGCTTCTTTGCATTTCCATATACATTTTAGAATTATTCTTTTAAGTGTCTGCAAAATAATCTTGCTGTTATTTCTATATAAATTGTATTAAGCCTATATATTGATTTGAGAATAACTGGCATTTATACTATCCTGAGTCATCCAATCCATGAACATGGTATGTTACAACATTTGAAAACTCTTCTTTAATAATTTTCATCATGTTTCAGCATACAACCCCTGAATAATTTGTTAGCTATGCCTGTAAACATTTCTTCTTTTTGAAAACAATTTGTGAATGATATTGTTCTTTTTATTGATTTTTTAAAGATTTATTTATGCATACAAGAGCTGGGATACAGGCTAGAGATGTGGGGGGTGAGAGGATTAACCAGAGACAAAGTGGGAAACAGACCAGGCAGATTGACTGAAATACCCCGCTGAGGGGAGCAGCGGGCAAGCCTGCGGGCGAGCCAGCCAGAGCGAGCGGGAAAGCCACATGCTGCACCATGTGTGCGGGTCAGGCATTGAACTCGTGCTGCAGAGGCTACAGATAGCTTCACAGGTTGCATCTTAACCCCTTGTGCCACCAGGAAGGCCCAATTTTTGTTGATTTTTTATATCCTATAGACTACTGGAACTCACTTGTTATTTACTACAGTTTTTGTCTTTTTCTAGATTCCTTTACATTAAATATGTAGAACATTATGTCAAATAGTGACCAATAATGCCACTATTCTTTCTTTCTTTCTGATTTTTATAGCTTTTGTTTCTTTTCCTTGCTTTATTGCAAGGAACTTTCTTTCGTTAGTCCATCAGTTAGAAGCACAAGTAATATCTGGTCTCATAACTCATGACAGTCCTCTGAAATTGTGGGCTGGGAGGAGGTAATCTTGTAGGACTGAACTCTTAACCTGTGGAAGCTGATGTTATCTCCAGATAGATCAAAATTGAGTTGGATTTTAGGACATCTAGCTGGCATCCAAAGAATTGTTTGTTGGATGTGTAGGGGTAACCCTCCCAACATACACATCAGAATCGGTGACAAAGACACCCCTTTCATCATTCTAACTCCAGATTTTCCCTTGGGGTCCACCAAAGTTGTCCTTAGAGCTGAATAGCAACTGGACTTTTCCCATTTCTCACTTCTGCTTCCTCTCCAGCGCACGTGTCCATACATGCAAATCCCAGAGACATTCCTAATAAACACCCTGCTTCTAAACTCCATCTCAGTTTATTTCCTTGGAAATCCAACTGGCACCAAAGACACCCCCTGTCTGAAGTCACTTTCAGCACAGCCTTATCTTCTATCAGTAGCAGTGTATGTCTTGCCTGCAGATTTCCATGAGTCTAACAGAACTTTCTAGTTGAAACTGCCTCCAGTCTCCAAATATTCACCCAGTCACCCGCATTTATGGTCTCCTGTTGTAGTAAGAAGCCCTGATAGTTAGTTCAAATGTTGCCCTGCCACGGAATCTCAGTCATAGATCAAGGCAAAAACTGTCTGGAATTCGCAGCCAAATATAGTAAAAAATAGTGAATATATCACCTTCCTGCACCAAAATGGTACTGCTTTAGCAAGTCTATTTTTTTTCTCCACTCCTTGATTTAGTGACTGCCCCTGGTTTATGAAATATTTTTTCTCAGAGCCCACTGGAAACATCTTTATAAAATAGAGTTCATCTTTGAACAGGTCATTTTCCTATTGAATTTTAACATTTCAGGAAGGAAAGGGGGAGTATTTCTGACCCAGCTATTTTTTGACCAAGTATTTAAGTTGGTTCCTAGATGCCAGAATTTAAGCTCCATTGACAGCCAATATAATCACCAGCTTGTAAAACAAAATCTTAAGTTCATGCCTGTATGGAGCACACTGAGTAGGCTCTGCTCAAATCACTCCAGTGATGTGGCACGAACAATTTCATTTCTGCCCATGGCTGTGATGCCAATCTTGACTTCATGTAGTTAGTAAGTGACAAAGCCAAGATTTGAAACAGACGAGCCTGGATTCTCAGCCCATGTTCTTTCAACCATATGGTGCAATTCAACAAATAGTCACTGGACATAATATTTATGTGTGTAAGTATAATATTTCTGAAATACCTCTGTGTGTAAGCGACCTTATCAATCAAGACAGCTCAGCTCTTCAGCTTTCTGAGGGTCTGTGGCCTGGGGGTTTGGTTAGCAAGAGGTATCAAAGTTGCCAAGCTCAGATAGCTAAAACAAACTTCTTCTAGTGTTAGTAGGGGAAAAAAAGAGGAAAACTAGTGCAAAGATTAGACAAGGAAAAGGACAGCTTTGGCTGTGTGTGAAGAACAAAAGGAATAAAATAAAGTCCACAGCAGTCTTTGTTAACCCCAAAATGCCCAGCTTGATATGACCATCATATTTGAACTTGTGGGACTCGTACCCACAATAGGAAGAATGAGCTGGGCAGGGCCTGGACCAGAGGTGGGGGAGATGCCCCAGCTGCAAGGGCTAAAAGATGAGACCTCACTGGAAGTAAGAGTCCAAAGTCAAAGATACACTGAGGTCTGGGAATGATGAATGTGGGTCCAGGGGAAAGCCCTGAGATTGGGGTGGAGGACCTGCAGCATGTCTGGTAACTGGCCAGGGAAAAGAGGGGGGAAAGTGCATCCAAGAAAGACCTAGGAAATGAGCAGGGAGCCCAGTAGGGTTGCGCTGACAGAAATGGTAGAAAGGAGGGTAGTGGGACTGCTGGAGGCTAGAAAGCCCAGGAAATCCAGAAGCCTGGTGAGTGGCAAAGTAGCTCCATTCTCCACTTCAGGGTCACCTCATTGTCCTCATCATCCCCACGAGCATTAGTTGAGCACTTAGTATTTGCCAGAACTGTATTGTTTTAACGACAATATGTCACGCTAAATAAGTTTAAGCATCAAAATCCAACTGTGTTTGGATCCTGTGTGCAGACAGTGAGTGAGGATAATGTGTTTCAGGGAATGATAGCAAAAGTTCCGATGGCAAGGAATTTGCTCCCGCATGTATCTGAGTCTGTCCAGCTCCTACATTTGGGGAGCAAGAGTGTGGCTAGTAACAGTCCACAGAGCGAGGGAGCACTGGGCTGTGTAGCACGCTACTTTATGGATAAAGAAATGGTCGCAGAGATCCTGTAATTTTCTCAGGTCAGCCCATCAGGGAGAGAACCAGAATGTGTGCCCAGTCTGTGGCACTTCCACCCACACTAACAGGGACTGGGACATTGGGACTGTTT